GAAGTGGTGAATGCTCCAACACTGGAAGTTTTTAAGAAGAGACTGGACAGCCGTTTGTCTGAAATGGTGTAGGGTTCCTGCCTGGGCAGGGGGTTGGACTCGATGACCTCCAAGGTCCCTTCCAACTTTATTATTATTATTATTATTATTATTATTATTATTATTATTATTATTATTATTATTATTATTATTATTATTTGTGTCATAGCTTTGCAAAATTTTCATCTGAAATGAGCCTATTGTTTTACTTAGACTCTAGATGATTTTTGATATTTTTCTCTCTTTAATCTATCCAACTCTTTCTTTTAGTTATCAAGTATTACAATAGGAAAGCATAGAGAAATTGATTGGATATAAATGGGATGTAATTGGAATATCCAATTGATCAAAATTAGAAAACCAGAATCAATTGTAAATCTCCTCTTACAATAAATATTGTGGGGATGTGGGGAATCTAGGACAGGGGTGTCAAACTCGCAACATCACGTGATGTGTCGCAACATATCACAACTTTTTTTCCATTGCCGGCAATGGGGTGGGCACGGTTTTGGCATGATGCATCTGGCCCGCGGCAGGCAGTTTGACACCCCTGATCTAGGACATTAATCTCTCTCATGATTAGATACTGGATACAACGTCTGAAAAACTGATGTTGAATTTAAGTATCATTTACTGTAGCTGAAAGCAGATTTGACCAACATGGAGAATTGACAATAATGTTTAGGCTTAATCTCATCCATTTTGTATCATTCTTCCATTGAACTGGAAGTTTTTAATGAAAATATTTACTGTTGACTATGTCTGCAATTACTTCTTCTACCCCATAAAAAGTATCTAACAGTATTGCTTGAACAAGGACTTTTGGTAGTGTCCATTTAAGATTTGCTAAGTAAAAAGGCACTTCTTATGCAACTCAATAACTTTTTTTTAATTTTCCTTTTATTGAAGCAACCTATTTATTGAATTAGGGATCTGTAGGCTGCAGTAGTTAATCAATCTTGGCCAATCTTTATGAAGAAAGCATGGTCAGACTTGGCTAATGTTTATGATGGGTGACCTTAAGGAATTCTCAAGGTTGCACACTAGTCTGGAAAAGTAAAAAAAAAACCAACCAAAACAAAACCTGAGAAGAAGGCAACAGTAAATTACTTCCTAAAACAAACAGTTTTAACCTGACCCTCAACCTTCATGGACCCATCTGAATAGTTACCAGGAGTCAAATTTACTTAAGGAAAACATTATAATGTTTTCCTATTATGAAGAACATGCTCATATCTCATAGAATTGATTTCTTAATGAAGGGGAGGGGAACAGCCCTAATAATCTATTTGCAAATTAGTTTGAGGCTAATTTGCTTTCTTTAATTGGGGAACATGGACTACCTATAAATCTTTACAACCAGAATGTTTTTTTAAGCAAGGAATTGC